GCCCCCTTTTGCTTGCGTGACCCCAGGACGTGAGTGACCGCCTGGCCAATGCCAGCGAGACCAACAAGAAGATCAACGACGCCTGCGAGGAGTACCGCACGGTGGGGTGGGGGAGGGGCCACGCCCTGCTCGAGGGGCAGCTGCTTGCGTTCAGGGGGAGGGCGCGGCGTCAGCGATCACCCACGCCATCAGGCCAGATTTACTTGGGTCCGCAGCACTGTCATCTGTAAGGGAGGTGCTGTGCCCTGACAATCCACGCATCCTCACACCTGGCCCCTGGGGCGCTGCTGCCTTGTCTGATGTCCCGTCCTTGACCAACCCTCCCCGCCAGGTGGCTCACCGCGCCACCCTGCTGTACTTCCTCATCGCCGAGTTTGCGGTCGTTAACTGCATGTACCAGACCAGCCTGGCGCAGGTGGGCACGAAACGGGTGGCCTGACGGCAGAGCACATTGCCGCTTGTAACGCACACCGCACCGGGGTACTGTACCTGCGCCCCCCACTGCCACGCGAGCTTCAACCCCTGAGGCACCCCAAAACCTTTTGAGCTGCAATCGGCAGAGCTCCAGATGGGAGGATTTGCAGCGCAAGTGCCTGCACAGCCTCCACACATGTATGAACCCTTGCTTTCGTGCTCCCCCTGCCGCACCCACCCCCTTCAGTTCAATGAGCTGTATGAGAAGGCCATCGACGGCAGCGAGCGCGCCAGCCTGCCCTCCAAGCGCATCGCCAACATCATTGAGCACATGACCTACGAAATCTACCTGTGAGGCCCAGGGCTCGGCTTGAAGGGGGTCTTGGTGCGCCGTGCCTGAGCTGACAGGGAGAGTTCGTGGGCTTGTGATGTCACGTGTAGGAGGAGTCAGCATGGCCGAGCACTTGTACGGCGGATATGTGCGCGGGGAGGCACTTGCAGCGTAGCAGTGCATGCGGCGCTCCTTGTGAGCATCTTTGCGCTTCCGTGTCGCAGGTACATCCAGCGCGGCCTGTTTGAGCGCCACAAGCTGCTGTTTGCGCTGATGCTCACCAACAAGGTCCTCGTCAGCGCCGGCAAGGTGGGCGACTCTCCGGGCCGGCCAGGCGGCAACCATATGCGGTGCACCATGCCTGCAGCCAACCACATAACGCTGCCAACGAAAAACCTCACTGACTGCTTTCAAGAGACCTCCAGCATGACTGAGACAAGATATGATCCACGCAACTGCCCAGAGCATGTGTGCCCAGACAAGCACTTTTCTGGATACACGCGATAATGCCCTCACCCAAACAGATCAAGCCGTCTGACCTGGACGTTCTGCTCAAGGGCGGCGGCGCCCTGGACATCACCAGCGTGCGCAAGAAGCCCAAGGAGTGGATCCCGGACGCTGTGTGGCTCAACGTGGTGGCACTGTCCGCCATGGACGCGTTCAGGTGCGGCGCGGTGGATGGTGTGTGGCCTGATGCACCACAGGGCACATGCGCGGAGGCTGTGTGTCCATGTGTGTGTGTGTGTGTGTGTGTGTGTGTGTGTCTGTGTGTGTGTGTGTGTGTGTTAATTCATGCGTGTGTTTGTGCGTGTGTGCTTGTGTGTGCGCGTGTCCATGCTTGATGCGTGGCACAGGTGTTCGGTTTGTAATTAGGATGCGTTGATTTCCAGAGGGGCCCATTCCAACGCGATTTCCGGCTCATGCGGCCCAACCTGCCGCAGGGACATCCCTGACAGCGTGTTCCGCAACGACGGGCTGTGGCGGCAGTGGTACGATCAGGAGGCACCAGAGATGGCCAAGGTGCGGGGCGACTGCCACCGCTGCTGGGGCGATGCGCACAGCTTGCACGCAGCGACGCAAAGCCCCTCAACCACCCCGTTGGCAACGAAGGAGCTGCATTCCCACCGACCCAACATATCGGCCCCGCTTGCCTGTGGCCACTGTTCCTGCTGGCCCCTTCACGGCCAGCCAGCGGGTCATGCTGCTGCACCATCTCACGTCCTGAAACCAATCATTATAACATGCCGGCCCACCACCCGCCAGGTCCCTGACTACGAGGACCGCCTGTCGCGGTTCGAGCGCATGTGCGTGGTCAAGGCATTCCGCGAGGACCGCACCCTGGTGGCCGCGGCAGACTACATATCTGACGCCCTGGGGCAGCGCTTCGTGGAGAGCGTGCCCCTCAGCATGGAGGTGCGCGCTGCTGCCGCCCAGGCAGTTCGACCTTTCCTTTCCTTGGGCCGGTCAGACATTTTGGCATCATTGGGCTCCTCCTGGATGTGTGCATTCATGTCAGGTGCAATAGCTGGGGGGTTGCTTATACCTGGAACACTCGGCTTGAGGTCGAGGTGGGAGCAGCTCCATTGGCCGCGCCGAATGCGCTTAGTTTCCTGTGCCTGACACCACCCTCGCTCCGACGCCGCGCCGCCGCCCGCAGCGCGCGTGGGCGGAGTCCCGCGCGCGCGTGCCGCTCATCTGCCTGCTCAGCCCCGGCTCCGACCCCACCAAGCTGATCGAGGACCTGGCCAAGAGGAAGAAGATCAAGACGCTGGGGGTGTCCATGGGGCAGGGCCAGGAGGTGCGGCGTGCTGGCATTTTGACCACTGCGCTCATGAACCTGACCAAGCGAATCCGTATTTCTTTGCGCGTTGAGTCTGCGTGCGCTGCCATTGCAGAAGCACTTTGCTATTGCTCTGCAGCCCGATGCGCTCGGCTGAACGAGGGACGCAACCAAGCTTGCGTCGCGCACCTGAAGCCCAGGGGTGCGTTTCCGACCTCTCGCGCCGCAGGTCATCGCGCGCAAGTACGTGGCGACCGCTGCTGCAGAAGGACAGTGGGTGCTGCTGCAGAACACGCACCTGGGGCTGGGGTACCTGGCCGAGGTGGAGCAGTACCTGGTCAAGGCGGAGGAGCTGCACGAGGACTTCAGGTGACGTCACGCCCCGTCAGCGGCCGCCGCTGCTGTGATGTCACATTCCTCGCGCACCACAACCCCACCGCGCGTCTTCATGTTCCAGGGTCCCCAATCAGGCAAACACAGCTTGACCGGATCGCGTGCACGTCTGACGCTTTGTGGCTGTATTGCATGCATGCTGAACGTGCCACCATCTTTGCCCCCCCCCCCCAAACAGGCTGTGGATTACTGCGGAGCCGCACCCCCAGTTCCCAATCGGCCTGCTGCAGGTGGGTGCCAGGGGGGGCCCAAAGCCCTCCAGGTCCAAACGCCACAGCCCTGCATCCATTCCGAACAGGCAGCCTGGCGGGATAATGCAATGGCGTCACTGCCTCCCCCAGCGCTTGGAGATGACACAACAGGCCTGGCTTCACAAAGTCTCAATCCCACACCGTCTGCCGACGTAATCTCATCAGATGGGCATCAAGATCACCAACGAGGCCCCAGTGGGCATCAAGGCCGGCCTGAGGGCCTCCTACCAATGGGTCAACCAGGTGAGGCCGACACCACACACTCCAGCTGGCTGCTCACTCGCTACTCAGCCATGCACGCGCGTTGCGTTGAACGCTGCCTGCGGTCTGATTCGGGTACAAGTAACCTCGTCCGCTCCTCTCACCAAATTACCTGCGGTGCCTCGCTCCCTGGCGCGCGCCCCAGGACATGCTTGACGCGGTGGGCCGCCAGGAGTGGCGCCAGCTGCTGTTTGTCAGCTGCTTCCTGCACAGCGTCGTGCAGGTGTGGCCCACAGAGGCGGGGGGCGCGTCGGCGGGGGCATCGCGGGACAGCAGGCGCAGTGTTCGACCCCACAATGTGCCGTCTCGTTTGCCATTCACCAGGCTGCTTTGTGCCATCACATCACATCATTACAAGAAATCTTCCCTGCTGACAGCCCCCTGGTGTGCGGGCCCCATCAACATACGTCCACTGCTGTTGCTGCCCGCCGCAGGAGCGCCGCAAGTTTGGCCCCATCGGCTGGAACGTTCCCTACGAGTTCAACGCGTCAGACCTCAGCGCCTGCACCCAGTTCCTGCAGAACCACCTGCTGGAGATGGACGCCAAGAGGTGGGGGGATTGACAGCTGCGGGCCCAAAGTCTGGGGCCTACGCGGGGCTGGGGGTGGGGTGGGGTGAGCCACGCTCTGACTGCTTCTTGGCGTTGACTGTTGGGGCATGGCGTTGACTGTTAGGCTACGCAGGGTGCGCCATGCGCAACAACAAGCTGGCTGTGAGGCTGCTGCTCCAATGCGCCCGCTGACGGGAATACGTGCGGGCCACCCAATACGCGTGCGCGCCCTGCAGGGCGTCCCAGCCGACGTGGGAGACCGTGCGCTACATGGTGTCTGTCATCCAGTACGGCGGCCGCATCACGGACGACTTTGACCAGCTGCTCATGGACACGTTCGCAGAGAAGTACTTCCACCCCGGGGTGCTGCAGGTGGGGCGCCGGGCGCTGTGCCTGGCCAAAGCTTCCCTTGTTTGCGGGCCTCTGCGCGGCGAGGTGCTAGACTGGCCCGGCCTATTCAAACACATGATGAAACGAGCACGCTGTGTCTTGAGCTACGCACTGGACCTGAATCTGCAGGCCGGCTACGAGCTGCACCGTGACGAGCGCAGCGGGTTCAGCTACCGCGTGCCCGACGGCGCCGAGGTTGAGGCCTTCAGGGCCGCAATAGAGGCCCTGCCCGTACAGGTGCGCGGGCGGCAGGCCGGGGGCCGGGACGTGCGGTCGTCCTCCTGTCATTCAGCAGGCCGCCAGCAGCCTGCAAACCAAGAAACGAACAGTGTACGCAAACGGGGTCGCAGGGCCTTTCGCGCGTCATCCGTCCTAGCCCCTGCTGCAGCCTTGCTGGAACCGCCC